TCACACCTGGCAAGTGCTTGGGGGCCATATGGGATCCTGGGGTCGGCAGCACGCAAGGCAAACGCCCTCTCCGTGTGCTCTTGCTCCAGCTCCCTCACTACTGATTTTCATTTAGTTTTAGTTTGGGGCAGGGGGAAGTGATCCTGGCGGTGCTCAGGGCTCACTCCCAGCGGGGCTGGCTGAGCCCCGGGCACACACCTTGCCCCCCCACCAGACTGGCCCAGCCATGGCTCATCTATACTGGCTCCCAAGAGCTGCCCCCATCTCCATGCCTTCACTCCTGCCCTCATGCCAGGGACCAGCGAGTCTCCTCACAGCCGCCTGGGGCCGTGAGAAGCCAGGAGAGCGTGGAGACTTCCAGCTCTGAGGACCATGGGAAAAGCCACTTGGGAGCCGCTTCCAGGAGCCCTGCCAGGAGAGGGCAGTTTGGGGAGAGTGGGGGCGGGGCCAGAACTCAGGTCTAAGCTAGGCTCAAGGCCTACCCCCAGCCCCATCTCAGCCTGGCCGGACCCCTTCCCCCCACAGTGAACACAGGGACCCCGGCAGAGGGGAGGCCCGGCGGGGTCTGACCCAACTGACCTGTGGGTGTCTGGGTTTCGCATTGGCCCAGTGGTGGCTCAGGCTGCCAGAGGGGCCACAGGCACTCCTGCTTGCTGAAGCACCTCCAGAGTTCACTCTGCCCCTCCTAAGCCCCTGGCTCCACACGGGCCCATGGGAAGGCTGTGGCCCAGGCACTCCCTAAGCTCAGGGGCTCGGGGCTCCCCTGGCAGTGGGAAGAAGTGTCCTCTGCTCTCCCGTGATGCTGCCTCCCCGGGCCCAGCACACGGCCTGGAACCCCACAGCACGCAGGCCCAGAGCGCCACTCTTCAAAATGACCCTTAGCCAGGGGAGCGACGCTTCCTGCTGGACAAACCGTTCAAAGTCCCCCCTCAGGGCTGAGGTGCAAGCTCTGCACGCAGGCCCCCTGCCCCCATCCCCAGCACAACCCCCCCCCCCCCATCTCTACAGCAACATCCCTGAGCATGGCCAGGTGCAGCCTTCAAACAAACAAACAAACAAACAAAACACTCCAGGCGACTTCTGCCTCTCCAGGGAGGGAGAGCTGAGGAGAGATGGTCAAGGGCAGGGCAGGGAAGGGATAGCTCAGGGCCTTGCTGGGGATGGACGGATGAGGCACGTGGCCTGCAGAGACCCAGGCCATGATAGGGTGGTATGTCTGCTGAGGAGGGGAGGAAGAAGGGGTCAGGGTCAGGCACAGTCTGGGATGTGAGAGAAGATGGTAGCTGTGCCCAGGAGGCTTCTACCCCATCTTGGATGACGAGGAAAAGGCGCTAACTCCAGGCAGCCCTGGGGGAGACCCAGTGTGTGCACATGGGAGAGTATGTGTACATGTGTGTGCACGAGTGTGTTGCACATCTGTGTATGTGTACATGTGTGCGCACATGTGAGTGTGTATGTGTGCACATTTGTGTGTACATGTGTGTACATGTGTGCACATGTAAGTGTGTATGTGTGTGCACATGTGAAAGTATGCATGTGAGTGTGCATTCATGAGTGTGTGCACATGTGCACTTGTGCACTAGGGGTGTATACATGTATGTGTATGTGTGTGCACATGCAAGCACACATGTGCACATTGGAGTGTGTATGTGTTCATGTGTACACAGGTGTACATGTGTGAATGTGTATGTGTGTGCATGTACGTACACATGTGTGCACGTGTATGCATTGTGCACTATGAGTGTATACACGTATGTGCACCTGTGAGAGCGTGTATACATGTGTGCATTGTGGCTGTGTGTGTGTGGAGGGGAGGGTATTGAGGCCACAAGCCCCCCTGTGCCACCCCGGGATGACCTGGCATGAGGAGCAGCCTCTGAGCCAGCAGCACGGGCTCACTCAAGTGGATCCAGGCCAGAGAGCCCCGCCTACACACACATCTGGGGAACGGCTTTCCATTCTTTTCCAGGGAGCATCCCTGCTGCCCTTTTCCCAGATGCATCCACGTGCTGCCTCACGGCCGCACATCTCAGAGAATGCCTGAGCTTCATGCCAGCCCAGCATGCACCGGGCCATGAGGCCACATGATCCTGGGTCCATATCTGCATCCCCAAGAACGGCAAGTGTCTGTCTGCTGGGGAGGAGACAGAGCCACACGGCCCAGCAGGGGAGCACCAGCCATGAGAGAGCAAGGGTCTCAGGCTGCCCACAGGGGAAAGGCAGCACCTGGCAGCCCTAGCATGGCCAGAAGCGACCCCACCCCTAGCCATGCTCCTGCTGTCCACACAGGGGACCTGGCCCTGGGGACAGCTGGAGTTCCAGTGTGTGTGGTTGAGAAAAAGCACCTGTAACACATGAGGTGGGGATCACATCCGTCAAAACTGCTGTCCACAGTCCCGCATGTTCACGGTGCACGCAGGAGGGGCCCTGCAGGCTCGCATGAGGTGCTCGGGGCTGCCCACACATCAGCAGAGCTGTGGGGTGCACGCTCCTCAGAATCTGATCTGGAATCAGCCCTTTCCCAGTTCTGGTCTTGGGGCTCCTGTCCTGGGGTGTGTGCTACCTCCTGTGTCCAGTACCGCACTGACCCGACTCCCCTCCCTTGACTCTGGGCCACGTGCGACTGAAGCCACGAACTGCCTGACTCTCGGGTCCCGGCCCCAGAACATCCAGCCAAGCATGAGTTCTGTGTAAGAGGCTCTGGGTCATATCCCCCTCCCCCTGGCCGGGTCCTACCCTGTCAGACCCTCTTGCCTTCAACCAAAGGTCAGAGAACCCCAGACTTTCCACCCCACATCACTGCAGAAGAATCTTCTGGAATCCCAGCAGTGGCGCATCAGCCTCAGTGGGAGAGAACGAGTCCCCCATCGCCGCAGGGGGCCTTGAGGCTGAGTGCAGACACACACACGGCTGCCCACACTCTCATGACCACACACGAGGAACGTCTTGGACACAGAGGCCTTGCAGCAGCCTGACCCCAGAGCGGGGAACACATCAAGCTTCAGACAGCGCCACCAACAGACCAGAGGGGGCAGGACCTGAGCTAGGAAACACCTGGCCCAGGGGGGTCAGGATCACCAGGAGAGGCCCCGGGCCCCCCAGCAGTGCCTAGAAACCACCTCAGAAGAGACAAGAACTTATCACACAAATGCGGGGGGCGGGGGGGGCTGGATTTGATCCTGTCACGGCAAGTGCCCCACTGGGAGTGGCCCCCAATCATGGTGATGACAAAGTCACCCTCACTGGATGGACATTGAAGAGGGAAGCAGAGAGCGCAGCAGAAAGGCAGCTCAGACACGCTCACCACCGGCCACGTCATCAGAAAGGCGCCACCAGCTCAGGCAGCCACCGACCAGACCCACTCAGGCACACGGGGAGTGCACTCAGGGGTCAAGGCTGGAACGGTGACAATGGAACAGAAGCGCACACACAGACACGCAGACACACACACGCACAGACACACATGCACAGACATGCACAGAAACACATATTTACATGCATGCAGACACACACGCGCACACATACATGAACAGACACACACAGACACACAGACATGCACAGACACACACACGCTCAGACATACACACAGACACACTAACGCACAGATACATGCACACACACACATGCAGAAACATGCACAGAACACATACACGCACAGAAACACACGTGCACACACGCACACACACATGCACAGGCATGCACACAACACACAGCTACTGCCATCCTCTGTGCCCTTCCCATAACAGCCACCAGGTGTGTACAGCCAGGCCCCTGCCAACCCTGTGCGTGGCAGGGATGGAAACCAGAACGGAACGGACGTTGGGGAGGCGCCTCCCTTGCACAAGGAAGCATGGGGTCCATCCCACACCCCACAGGGTGCCCTGAACGCCAGGAGCAATTCCTGAGCTCAGAGCCAGGAGCCAGCCCTGAACACCACCAGTGTGGCCCCCCAAACAGAAAGAAACAAAGACAAAGGGAAAAAATGGAGCTGGACAAAAGATCAGGCCAGAGATCAGAGCACACAATGGCCGGCCAGGGGGTGGAGGATGAGCACCTCTGGCTTGATGCCGGTTTGGGCCCATGTCTGGTGCCTCTTCATGCGCGGGCCCACCCTGCCAGCCAGAGCCAGCCTCCCCACCCCCCACCCCACCCTTTTTGATCTGACAGTGACAGCCCTACTGTGCGCAAGTCATGGCTTCCTCCATCTGACTTCACCCTGACAACCTCACCAGCAGGGCGAGGGCATCCCCCTCTGAGCTAGACAGAGGGAAGCTGCCCGCCCCAGCCATGGGCTCCGGGCTGGCGGCCACCAGGCTGGGGGCAGGGGACCCTCTAACCTTCTGTTTCCTCCTCTGGAAACCAGGAGGCAGCCCCAGATCCCGTGCCACGCCAAGCGGGTGTTTCCTCCCAAGAGGCAAGAATCCCCGCGTGCAGACAACCGTACACTGACACTGGACATTTGGACAAAGCTGGACCTGGCAATCGGTGGGGAAACTTAAAAAAAAAAAACCACCAAACAAAAAGTCAGCTGTGAAGCCAAGGCTCGCTGACTGACGGAGAGCAAGTGCAGGCGGCGCCGGAAGGGAAGTCGGGACAATGGAGAGGAAGGAGCCGGACAGACAGACGGATGGGGCCTCCCGGGAGGGGGCAGTGAGCTGAGGCCCAGGGCGGCGCCGGGGCAGGGTGTTCACAGGACGAGGAGGGGGGACGCGGGGTGGACACAGGGACAAGGAGGGAGCTCGGGGTGGACACAGGGACAAGGAGGGTGACAGTGGGGTGGACACAGGGTCAAGGAAGGACTGCAGGGTGGACAGAGGAATAAGAGGACTACGGGGTAGACACAGGGACACGAGGTACTGTGGGTGGACAGAGAGACATGGGGGACTGCAGGTTGGACAGAGGGACATGAAGGGACACGCGGGGACTGCAGAGTGGACAGAGGGACACGGGGACTGTGGGTGGACACAGAGACACAGAGGGGGGCCGTGCTGGCTGCTTACTTGTGTCCCAGCTCGTGGGCGATGGTGAAGGCCAGGTTGAGCCCGTTGTCCTCGGCCAGCACACACTTCCGCTTGGCGCTGCACGCCCCTCCCAGGTAGGCGATGCCTGCGGACATAGAGGAGCTCAGCACAGGCTGGACAGGGACATGGGTGGCGCTGGGCCTCAGCAGGGGCTGTGCCCTTCAACATGGCAGCAGTGCCGGTCCCAACTGGGCCTCGGCTTACACTTTGGTGTCCAGGACGCGACAGCCGCCAGTCACTGGGGTTCGGGAAAAAAACATCGGGCACCCCGGGGGGAAGAAGGCCCCTTCCCTCCTGCCCCGAGGCCCGGGCCCCATCAGACCCAAGGCCCTAAGGAATGTCCCGAAGGGCACCTGCTTCCATGGACAAATGCCTGGGGGGACAGGACAAGGAGCCCCAGGTCCCCCACCCCCTAAGGGATCAGGCTGGACCCTTGGGACAAAAGGACAGCGCTGCTGAGCTTCAGTCAGGGCTGATGGGGGGGGCGGGATATGGCTCTTGCTGGATGGTTTCTCGCTCACGTGGACTGAGATTCCCTGGGCTGGTAAGAATCAAGGGGCCATGGCCCATGATGGGGAGGTTCGGGTGGAAAGGAGGACGAGGGACCCCTGGAGTCGACCCTATCCCAGAGCAATGTAGACTCTGAGGGATGCTGGGGGTACCCTGGTAGCAGTAGGGGTTTGCAGGGGAGAACAGCATTCTAGGAGGAGCCGGGTTGGGGCAGCAAGGGGGACCCCAAGGATGGAGGCCAGCAGCCCCCCACGGCCTGGACTGGCCTAGACGTGTGGTTCTAGACCAGGTGCCCCCACGGGCCACCCCAGCAGGCCCCCACCCAGCACCCGTGTAACACCCCACTGCCAGGGCTCCACTCCTGGGTGCGCCTGGAAGCAGAATGAGCTAGGATGGGGGGGAGGGGACGAAGCCCCCAGAGGCCCAGGGCTCTCCTGGAGGCGAGATGGAGCAGCTCTGAAGACACCCAGAGGAATGTGCTGGGGGTACCACAAGATGCTCCCAGCCCCACCGCCTACCAGAGCTGGTCCCTCCTCAACGGAAGCATCAGTTCCCCATGGCCCCTCAGGGCCCAGGACCGGGCAGCCCAGGAGGCCCAGGGATGAAGGACAATGACAAGGAGCATGGTCCTGCCTCCCGTGGACTCAGCCACACCCGCTGCCGGCCTGCTCCCCCCGCCCCCAGAGCCGCAGTGACAGGTGCGCTGCCCAGCCGGCAACACACCAATGTCCACTTTGGCTTACTAACACAGAATGTCCTGGCCCAGGAGAGAAACTTCTTTCGAGAAGGGGAGAGGGACAGAGGAGAAGGACGACGGGGAAGGCAGCTGCCTTGCACGCAGTCGATCCGGGTTCTACCCCTAGCATCCCATAGGGTGCCCTGAGCCCCACCAGAAGTGCTTCCTGGGTGCAGAGCCAGGAGTCAGCCCTGAGCACCGCTGGGTGTGGCCCCCAGCCCATGGAAAGAAAAAATAAGAAAGAAGAGAGAAAGGGAGAGACAGAGAGAGCAAGAAGAGAGCACTGTGGCCTTAAGGCACACGTTTGCGTGTTTGTGATTTTCTGGCACACAGACATGGTCCAGCCCACGCAGACGGCAGCGAGGATGAGGACTCGATCGGCGTCTGGGTGCCTTCAAGGTCACTGTCCGGGCTCGGTTTAAAAAATGCTTTGTGGGCTGCTGCCCTGAGTCCAGCCTGAGGACTTGGAATGCGTCTACATGGGCCTGATGGTATGTGCGTGTGGAGCGCCACACATACACTCCCTCTCCCAGACACACACACACACACCCTCGCCCAGACACACACGCACACACACCCTCCCAGACACACACACCCTTTCCCCACACACACCCACTCTCCCACACACACACCCTGCCAGACACACACACCCACTCTCCCAGATATACACACACTCTCCCAGACACACACACACTCCACAGACACATACACACACACCCTCCAACACAAACTCCTACACACACACACTCTCTCTCCCAGGCACTCATACACACACACACACCCTCCCAAACACCCAGACACACACGCACACACACCCTCTCAAACACCCAGACACACACGCACACCCTCTCAAACACCCAGACACACACGCACACACACCCTCTCAAACACCCAGACACACACGCACACACACCATCACAGACACACACACACCCTCCCCCCACATACACACCCACTCTCCCAGATACACACACACTCCCCAGAAACACACATATCCTCCCAGACACACACACACCCTCCCAGATACACATGCACACACACACCATCCCAGACACACACCTACACCCACACTCACATACACCCTCTCTCTCTCTCTCACACACACACACACACACACACACACACACTCTCTCTCTCTCTCCCAGGCACTCATATACACACCCTCCCAGACATGTGCACATACACACATTCCGACACACACATACAAACACCCTTCCCACCTCCCCCACACACCCAATTTCCCAGACACATACGCAGAAACACACACACAGACCCTCTCCCAGACACGCGCACACACACCCTCTCCAGATACACAAACACTCCCCAACACACACACCCTCCCAGACACGCACATACACATACCCCCTCCCAAACACATACACACACACACACCCTCCCAGACAAACTCACACTCTCTCTCAGACATGACATGCACATGCACAGGCCCCACACATCCTCTCAGAATCCCCCACAACACACACACACACACCTTCCCATCCCACACCAGAGCCTCCCGGTCAAGGAATCAACTGGCAGCCTTCTCCGTGTGCGCCCGCTCGGGCAGGCACCCGGCCAGCGGCGGGGCTGACATCTGAGGCCAGCTGCGCCGAGCATGGGCGTGCTGACCCAGCAGTCCTGAAATGCCACACAAACACTCCCCTGGCCTCAGCCACCCTCTAATCAGGGGGCCGGGATCCCGAGGAACGGCCAAGGCGGCCTGCCCCTACTGCAGTGGATCTCACACACCCTCCCCACCCCGGCCCCGGGGCCCCCCTTCTTACCAGAAAACAAAGGCTGGGTTTATTGACATGAAATGTTCTCACCCAGGTGGACTGAGGTCAAGAGCTTCTAAGGATTTATTTGAACTGGGAGGCGTCTGATCACCCACCAGCAGCCCAACTGTGGACAAGATGAAGGCTGCAGGACCCCACCCCGACCGGAGAGCACTGTGGGGGGCAGCGAGAGGCTGGGAAACGCTGAGAAGGCACAGAGTCTTTGGGGCGCGCGAGGGATTCCGTGGGAGCCCACAGGAAACGAAGCTGCTGCCTCGCCATGCACCCACCCCTCCGCTGCAAAGGAACCGCCCCCCCACCCCGCTCTCGTCTCTGTTCTGGCCACACATGGCAGTGCCTGGAGATGCACTCTGCCCCCTGAGCTGCCACCTGGCCTCCAAATCCCCCACATTTTGTCAGAAAACTAAACAAGAGCCTGCTGTCTCGGACAGGACGTCTCATCACCCGGTGGAGCGGGAGCTTCAGTCTGTGAAGTGGGCTGCGACCCGCTGGACCCCAGCGAGGCCAGCGTGAGAGACCGGAGCTCAGCACCCTCACACTTGGGCCAACCCTGCGGTCTGCAGGGCTCCAGGAGCTGAGGGACAGAACCTGGCCACGGTCACTGACCAGAGTTCGCTCCTGGGGACCAGCCCGGGCCAGCTGGCTCAACCCTCCCTCTGGGGCCCCTGCTCCCCAAAAGGGCAAACGAAGGCTGAGGAAATGCTGCTGATGAGGGAAACGGGGTCCGGGAGACACTAAAGCTGCCCAGGAACCAACAACAAGGCATAATCTGGGCCAAGGGAGTATGTGCAAAGGGCTTGTGGTTGGCAGTCAGGAACACTTCTAGCGCCTAATTCATCCTCGAGAGACAAAGGCCCAGGGGAGCCCTGGGGGCCTCTCCTCGGGCTGTGGCCGAGAATTAGGGGCTATTTCGCTGTGCCCTGCGCCCACAGAAGCACAAGGCGAGCACTCTCTCCCAGTTAGGAGGGCCAGGGATCCTGTTCCCAGCAGCACTGCTGAGGCCAAGGGACTCCCCCTCCCCCACCCGCCCCCAAGCACAGCGTCAACTTAGGAGGGAATGGAAGAACACGCAGTAGCAGCTGGCTCTGGGCAGGGGAGGGGCAGACAGAGAGGGGCGAGGGATGGAGACAGCCCCCTGCCTTCCGAAGACAGACAATCAGCCTGGGCCGAGCCGGAATCCAGATGCTGCCAGTGCTCACTCACTCCCAAGGAAGGTGCCCCCCGGTTCAGTGGGGAGGAAGGAAGAACCCCTGCCACAAAGGGCACAGGACAGCTGAACCCCACAACCCGCCCACCGCCTTCTCTCTTCTGGCTCTGGGCTCAGGAATCACTCCTGGTGGGGCTGGGGGGAGCACCCTATGGGGTGCCAGGGATCAAACCCAGGTCAGCCACGTGCCAGGCCAGTGCCCTCCCTCCTGGCCGCGCTGCCTCTCAGCTCATTCCCCCTCTTTAAAGGATTCACTGTGCACCCGCCCCTGCCCATACTTCCTGTCACTGCTCTCCTGGGGACAGACGGGCCTCGCGCTGCTTAAAGGGGACACATGTATTTGGTGTGTGTGGGGGGGGGGGAGGTCACCCATCAGGCCAGATGCTCGTGCTCCGGGACAGGCACGCACTCCAGGCCAGCGGCATGGGCAGCTTCTGGCACTTGGCAACGAAAGCCGGTTAGAGGGTAGGGAAGAGAGAGGGGTGGATGTGACACAACAACCGGGCCCAGGGGCCAGTGCAGGAGCCAGCGGGCCGGGCCCAGGGGCCAGTGCATGCACCAAGACTCCTCCCAGTGGGAAGGGACCAGACCCTGAGGTCTCCCCCACTCGAGTGACAAGGGGCCGCTCCCTGGCAGCCCCCCCGCCCCCACCCTAGAGGGCGTCTGTCCAGCCGGTTCACCCGAGGACACAGGAGCGGGAGGTTGGGGATCCGCGAGCATTTCTCACTCGACAACAAGCTCGTGGAGTGTTTCCGGCCGGCCTGTCGCAAGGGCGGGATGCCAGGGCAGGCTCCCAAGGCAAACAGCGGAGGCCGGGGCGGGGGGGCGGAGGCGGGGAC